GGATGGATGATCGAGAAGATCGAATAATAGGTAAATGATATTCTGTGAGAAAACGTAATAAACGCTTCGGTAAAATCGAACCATCCGGTCGTAAACGTAAGTAGCGAGATTTTTGTGAATTTTGCGCTATCGTTAACGTGTTAACGAGACGGGCTCGATGGATCTATTTATTTCGCGATGTTAATTGGACAATTGGTGAATTCGAAGGGTTATTCACTCGAATTAAAGTCGAAGGAATCAATTTTTTTTTTGTCGATTTTCTGTTAGTGTGAAGGTTCTGAAGTATTCTAATTTTAAATATTAGCCAAGCTTCAAATATTAACCCTGGGACAGAGGACGGCGCGATAATTGCAGGCACTGTGGATGTCGGGTCAAAAATGACCCAGTACTAAAATCTCTTTCGTATGCAAGCGAAACCAAATTTTTTGTATAAATAACTAATTACGATTGAGATAACAAGTATATTCATAATATAATCAGAGGAGAGTTGACTCTGTTTCGAATGCTGGTCGAAATAAGGGAAGTCTAAATGCTGGGTCAGCGATGACCCGGCCTCCGTCGTTCGAAGGTTAACCAATTTGCATCATTAGCGTATATATACGCGAAGTTTCCCTGGTCACAGTGAAATATTAAGTTTCCTATATTTTCCAAGATATTTGTAATTAAATTTAATAAATAAATAAATTTCGTGTTACCCCTTTTGACCCTCTGGCAAAGCTAATATAAATTTTTTTTATCGTAGTTTTATGAGACTGTCAAAGGGTTAAGGGCCCATTTTTCATTTTCTTCAAAGCATGCAATGGGTTAATAAAATTACACAGATTCGAGTTGAAGGGTAAAATTGCACAGATCGACGAAGAAAAGGTGATTTAGAATTTTTCTGGAACGTTATGAACATATTAAAGGATACGTGGAGAAATGACTGTTATAAATATGAACGATAGCAACAGGTTTTTAAAGGCTTCGATCGGGTAGCATGTTGAATTACCGTTTATACAACCTAATGAATGGCTATCTTGCAAAATACAACGTTTCCCCTGAAATGCTCCCAGAAATGTATTACATGTCGCTTTAATCTATCGGTAAGTGTTTGAGATTGTGAAACGTATTGTGTAGAGATTATTTGTGAGCATCATTGTCGTAACGTCTATTAAATTGGCGATCGAGAGAAAAACTTGCGAAGTAGCTATTGTGAAAATATTCTATCAAGCATGAAATAGCTGTTATTAAGACGTGAAATTCCAGGCCATGAGTTTCGAGCTAGGGTACTACTTATTGGTAATTTTAGTATTTAGCAAGACAAGAAATGAAGATAATAAGGAAAAATGCATCAAGTTGAATGAAACTTCTGAAACACTTTTACGAACTTTTATAGTGTCCTTTAAAGACGAATCTTTTATCTTCTAAGTCGTTTGTTCGAAACTTTCTTTTTTAAGGGATTAGCAAATTGTAACTTAAATATTACCATTTTCTTTCAGTTTCTTTCAAGTGAAGGGTATAGTAGAATAAGGGTTTCAAAAGTGCCCTTAAATCACATTAGTCTTGCGATGAAAGGAAAACATTTGACACCAAATTTCAACCCTTTATCTCAGCCAAGAGTGTAATTACAGCAAAAACTCAAATTATCATTTTTTGCTTTATTTTTCATATTTAGGAGCACGAGAAAATGTTGGAAAAAATCTGGCACGTTGCAGATACCAAGGCACACGTTACAAAATTTTTTTTCCAATTTTTCCACTGCAAATCCTAATTACAAAAAATGAAAAACTTAAAAATTGCAGATTTCTTTTTTTATATTCTCTTAGTTTTTAGATTCAGTTCTTAGAAGTGTTACAATTAACAACGACAATTATTTTTTGCTCGTCTCTTTCTCTGATGTCTAATTAGAGTACAAACTTCGTTAATTCATGGAAACTTGTTTCTTCAATTAACTAACGTATTAAAAGTCGATTTTCTCGATAAAGCTGTTTCGTGACAGTCTATCTTTTCCTCCTTGCCCTTCGCCTATAAATCAACATTCTGCTGCAGTTAAGTGCCTGAATTGAATCGACGGTGAAAAACTGCAGGAAATATGATTGATCTAATAACATCCGTATCACGAACACAGTCCACGTTCGACATTTTTACCGAACGGTTTCTCACGCTGCGAAATTGAGTAGAAGCGCTGCTGCGCGCCTTTTTCTCAGCCTCAATTGGCCCGATAATTTATTCAAAGAAGAAAAACTCGCTTCAGGGAACTAGCATGACTAAGCCGGTGACCTCTTCCAGCTGATCCCGTGACGAACCAGGACTGATTCTGGAATGGGAGTTATTGATTACGCTCTTGGTGAGCTATCGTAGCTAGCTTGGCGAGCACAGTGTGATTTTCCAGCGATAATTAGTATTGTCGTCTAATTGACCGCGATATTTCAGACAGTTACGGTTAGACGGCGAATTTTTATGCACTTATTGGAAATTTAGAGATGCAAAATTGCACAGAATGCGCTTAATATGGAAAAATGTAGAAAATATGCAAATTATAGTGGTTTTTTTGTAGTAGCTGCTAGGTGAAATAATTTTATTCAGAAGTTATACAGTAAATTCTCTACAAGTGTCAGTCAGTTTGGATTCTACAAATGTCAGTATAGATGGTCCTACGCCTAGGTCTGCGTCATTGCTGCGCCTATGTTATCTCTCTCGCTGTCAGTCAACTGTGTAACGCTACACCACTCGGTTTCTTTTACGAGATTTCACGGCTCGACAATTCATAATAGAAAAATATAATTTCTTTAATTTTACTTTTTTTCATCTGGAATTTTTTTTAACATGTTGGTGAGATTTTTCTGATGAAAATGACATCAAACACGACATAATTTGAACAACATTTACTTATTAACACGTTCACTTTCACGCCAGACATCAATATGTTAAGAAAAATTTCGGGATAAAAGAACGTAAAATTAAAAAAGTTGGTATTTAAATCGCTTGGTTGCCTCGACTCACGTTTCATCCTTATCTTTTATTCGCTGTCCTTATCTACGTTCGGCAAACTACAAAGGCGGGCGCGAGGCTCGAAAACGTAGTCCCTGACTCTACAAGTGTCAGGTTTAGATTCCTTGCGGACTGACACTTGTGGAGAATTTACTGTACTTTGTTTTGCTATATTCTTAAAAATGTGAATTCGCTTAAAAATTCGAAGGATGAATATCGGTTCAGAAAATCGATCGGAAAAAGTTATCGCACTGAACGAGTGTTTTAACCCTTTCGCTACGCTGTTGAAGCCTTTTGGTGCACTTGCACCTTAATTCGATGCTTACTTTTGTCCTTCACGCACTTCCATCTTAATTTGCTAAACCGAATTTTAAAATAATAAAAAAATTAAATATCTGCAAAAATGGACTATTTTTATTTAAAATTGAAAGTGAACAATTTAATAAGAATAATGTTATAACTAAAAATAGATCATAGATAATTAACGTTTATTTATCTTAATGTTGATTAAATTTTGCAAATGATTTAACAGAGTAGCGCGTATTGTATAAGTATAGTTGATGAGTTAGTGAGAGGCGTTGATGGGAGGTGCATATGTACAGTGTGCTACTTCTAACGAGTGAGAAAATACAATTCTTAATCGAGGAAACTTATAATTAATGCTTCTCGAAGGAGAGAAAATTCAACAAAGATGTTTCTATAATTATTACAAGATAATCCTTCGTCGTCCTGAGAAAAGCATAAATTTTCGCATGCTTGCGGTACCTGTTCGTTGAAAGATTTCATTTTATACTTAATTGCAAAATTAGCATTCTATGTGCGATTAATGCTGATAGTATTACTGATACAGTAACGATGCATAAAATTATAAAACGTCTCTATCGTAGGTGCTTTGATATTAACCAGTCTAACTTTTTATACGGTTATAGACGATTTGAATATTTTCTTGCACTGTCTTTGGCGTCCTTTCACCATAATTTTTAATCTCTAATTTTTGTCGTTTGCATACTTCCACCGTAATTTAATCCCTAATTTTTGTCCTTCGCGCACTTTCAAATTAATGTAAGTAAAAGAAACTTAAAAATGATAAATTGAAGCTGTGCTCTTGACGCCCTTTGACACACTTTCGCCATAATTTAATCCCTAATTTTTGTCCTTCGAGCACTTCTACCTTAATTTAATGAAAGAAAGTTAAAAACGATGAATTTTTCATTTTGAAACGCCAAAACGATAAATGTTGCGACCACGATTGAACGTCTATCCTCTGCCACGCGCGTTTCTTACTAAAATCTTCCGCAACGAAAGGGTTAAGAAACTTCCGTGTCATTCTTGAAATTCTTTCTATGCACTTGGTCGAACAAAATTATAAAATAACCCGTAACGATTGATTGCAATTGAATTAGTGGGCAGAACTTCGTTTGAATCACGTTGAAGAAACGATTAGAAAATAATGAAATTGAGCATTCAACTAAAATGAATAAGGCTCGAAAAGGGAATTTCTTGGCACAAGTACGCGACCCTGGAGCCTATATCAGCTTGATTATCACTTGCAGAGTCATTTAAAACTCATTTGCTAATACGTAACGTTCACTATTAACATCAGAATACCTCGGCAACGTGCCAACCGTAAGGTTGCCCCTGAAAAGAAAGTTCAAGCACTCGGGTTCTCAATCATCCCACAGCGCCAGGCCCATGAGAAAGCACGTTCAAACTCTTATTCACGCTAAAAGCAGTGGTTTCAGACACTTTCTTCGAAAGCAAATAGCCAGTTTAGCCGTAATTGAATTATAAGCGTGTAGTTATACCTAATTTTATTGCAATTAGCTATTAACATTTCATACAGGACGATCCTTCCGTAGAAAGTTCAAATAGCATTCAAACTCCTCGAGCGTGTTAAGAGAGTTTCTTTCAAGCCGAACAAATAGTTTGTTTCAATCACACACAGGATTCTATTCATTTAAGCTACCTCGATGAGAAACGAGATTAAAACAAGATTGAAAAACATTTGATTAAATAATTTTATAATGGCAATGTCAGGGATTCCCAAAAGTACCGGGATTCTGGAAAATGTCGAGATTCCTGTAAATTCCGAGAACCCGTTTTCCATTTCGAGATTTTCTTTAACGAACACCACGGCGGTTTCAATTTTTCGTACACAATGTTTACGCAGTTGCTTTGTTTACATCAAATCGCACGAATCCTAGTATCCGTGTTATTGACACACTGACATCATACATTCCATAAATTGTAACAAAAAGTGCGGAAGCATTGTCCTAATAATATGATATTATAATAATAATCCTGTCACTTTTGAGAATCCTGACACTTTTGAGAATCCCGGCACTTTTGAGAATCCTGACAGTTTGGAGAATCCCGACACTTTCGAGAACCCGATACCTTTGAGAATCCCGACACTTTCGAGAATCCCGACACTTTCGAGAATCCCGATACTTTCGAGAATCCCGATACTTTTAAGAATCCCGATACTTTTGAGAATCCCGATACTTTCGAGAACCCCGATACTTTTGAGAATCCAGATACTTTCGAGAATCCAGATACTTTCGAGAATCTTGACACTTTCGAGAATCCCGGCACTTTTGAGAATCTTGACACTTTCGAGAATCCCGGCACTTTTGAGAATCCCGGCACTTTTGAGAATCCCGACACTTTGGAGAATCCCGATACTTTCGAGAATCCCGATACTTTTGAGAATCCCGATACTTTTGAGAATCCCGATACTTCTGAGAATCCTGACACTTTTGAGAATCCCGATACTTTTGAGAATCCCGATACTTTTGAGAATCCAGATACTTTCGAGAATCCCGATACTTTTGAGAATCCAGATACTTTTGAGAATCCAGATACTTTCGAGAACCCGATACTTTCGAGAATCCCGATACTTACGAGAATCCCGATACTTACGAGAATCCCGATACTTACGAGAATCCCGTCTCTCCCAGAAATCCCGAACATTCGTTAGAATCCCGACACTATCGGGAATCTCGAAATTTTCGGAAACTCGTTCCGAACCCAGAAAAAATTCCCATCCCGATTCGACTCGATATTTTCGGGTTCTCACATATCTCTAGAAAACAGTACTCGCGATATTTTTGCCGCGTTCTAAAAACTCGCGCTACACGAGAGTCCACCGTACAAGATTCGAATCAGAATAATTCCGCAACGGCCATTTAAATTCGCTTCACATTCACAACAAGATCTGTTAATACTTCTGTACACGAGTGTACAAGCTCCCACTTAAAATCCACTGTACACACAACTTCATAATTATCACGTAACTTCATTTATCCCTCGGATAAAACCTGAACCGTTGAGCCTCCTCTCTCGAACGGGGGATGACTTATCAACAATCAACCGTGCAACACGTGTATAATGCGGTCGCGTACTATGCAGACGAGGCAGAAGAACGCGCATTAAGAAAACACCCTGTATACGCATGCAAATGTACACGCGGCGCTGATGCGAGCACGTCCATTAGAATTGATCGGCAACATTAATACAAGTTAGTGGCGACATGCTCGAAGAGGCTCTCTCTGGTCGAGGTTCGCGGTTCGATCTCTCGGTCCTCTTGCTTCTCAGCTCGTCCCTTTCTGGTGCTCGCGTGATCTCCGATCTCGCAGACGATTCCACCGAGCGTGGCACGCAGTTTCGTTGCGGTCCCTTCGGCTCGGTTCGCGTCTCCTGGACGCAGGCTATCGGCCATCAATGTCTACTTCCGACAAGATACCTTACCTCCTTCTATCTATACACGACCGACGGAGGAGGATCGTGAGCGGGGTCCCGCCGAATCACGGATTCAACGAGCCGCTATGCAAAGCGCGCGCGTCCGTCCAACTCCGCGTTTCGAGCGGAGAAAATTAAGCGACGCGCGTTTGATGCGCCTGATTCCTATCTCGTGCTTTGTACCAAGTTCGTGGAATCGATTACGCCGACCTCCTTACCTCCAATGTTCCGTTCTGTGTTCAATTTGTCATTTTTCAGTAAGTGGGTTTGAAACGGTGGAAGTTGGAAATTTCGTATTTTAACGGTGGAACAAGCGGAGTTGAATGTGGGAAATTTTTTACCTTGTGGTGTGTTTAGGTAAGAGTTGTGTGAAGAATTTGGAAATTAGAATTATTAACGGAAAATAAACTGGCATATAGAATTATAATCATTTGTGTTATTTAAAATAGCTAAAATAGAAATTCGCCATTTTCACGGGTTTGGTAGTTCTAGTGTTAATCATTTCTTTATTCTGGAGAATATTTTTATTCATTTTTTTATTTTAGCGATCAGTTTAAATAAATATATTTATTAGTAGTTAAGACTAAGACTAGAGTATTCTAAATTGTAAAAATTTGAAAATTCCATTTTGCCAGAAGCTTTATTTCAATTTTTATTTCCTTTGAGATCGAAATTTCTATTTCTAAATTTTGCAAATCATTTGCGAAAAATTTTGGCTAGCTCCGGTTCAAGTTTTATTTATTTTAATAAAATACGAATTCTAAGCAATTAAGTATACAGCTCTTTTACTTTTTAGAAGTGAAAACGCAAATGCCTCGAAGATCCTTAACATTAGAAAATTCTTACGTTTCAGAAAAATTACATACCTAACTATATAATCATGCGTAATCCTACATAATCTTGAGTTTAATCCTGTCATTCGACCTACTATTATCGCAAATTTCAAACAGAACGCAGCTACACCAATACATTTTCCCGCCGAATAAATCGGATCCGGATTCTCCTATTCCGCGTGCGTATCGTGGAAACTTGAAGAAAACGAAGCTTAATCGCTTGTCGTTGAATTGAATTGTTTTAAATCGTCCTTTAGCAGCGAGGCACACGATCGGTAGATCGACCGTGACCCGACTGAACTAGCAACCAGGGAAAATTATAGCTTCGAAATCGCTCGTCTCGTTGCTTGAACGGTGTATCGCGGATCTTCGATTATTTTTGCATAGCCAACGGTTGGATGCTGCATACCTTGATTATTCGAGGGATCATTGAAACGATAATCCGAGAAAATTCATTCGTAAAATTATTCATCGTGCCGTTTAAATTATTCGAAAGTAGAAATTGAATACAAAATTTGTGTGAAACGGTAATTAAATTTTTCCGTCAATTTTCCAATTCCTCCTCGCGGTTTCCGGCGATAATTTGAAATTGCCGCGCGAAATGTGATCTCGCGATAGAGTCTGTAAATAAATCGGTTACGTATGATCGCGAGAAACCAGTTTCGCCAACGAAAGGGAATAAACGTTGACAAATTGCAGTGCTCAGAAATTATATACAATGTAGCAAAATCGGCGTAAGTATCGAAGGTTGAACATAAAGGTTAAGGCGACTCGCCACTTTTACCGCCCCCAACATTCAGTAGAAGTAATTGAAGAAATACCGTGCGATGGATGAGAAAAACAGTAATTTTGAGGCTGCAATTTTTTTATCACCGCTTGTTTACCCAGATCGAAAAATAGATACGGCGCAGAGTTTCGATTGTATGTGCGCGATAGATCGAACGAGTTTATTAAAAAGAACGCGTGGGCGTGCTATGGGTAGATTGTTCGAATTCATAGTGCGACGAGAGACGCATGTATTCAACGTAGATTTGTGTCTTTAACGAAAGATTCAGTTTCACCGATCATTTTGATCTATAATGAAAATTTATCGATGAGTTCGTTACTAAATGAATCTTAGTTTTCGTTTTAAAATGAGACCCAAAGTAAAAAGAAGCCAATTGCCTTCAAAGAGGTGAAAGAATTATTCTTCAATATGTGAACATGAGAAATTTGTCATCTCTGGAAAATCTGGATTTACTCCGGAGATTTAACGCTTTGTGACTTCTCGTTATTTCCAAAAATTGAATGGAAGCTCAAGGGACGGCGTTTCGACACTGTGGAAGAGATACAGATTTAATGGCAACAGGGAATTAATTAAGGCTTAAATTAATATGGAAGTGCGCCAAAAGACTCCAATAGCATAATGGGAACAAATTTTCAAGGTGCCAATAGCAGTGAAATGGTTAAAACGCTTCTAAAGCCAGCGCACAGTGTTTCACAGCGCCGTATTTCAAAAACACCTCATTTTGTAAAATCGAACGTTAGTCAGACGTCTTTTGGACATCTTCAGGCTTTCGCTCGACGCCTTCAAGACGTCTATCCGCCAATCTACATTCGTTTGCGTATGAAACAAATTTTAGCGTTGGGTCATTTTTGACCCAGCGTCCGCCGTCCGAATAACAAACCTTCTATCAACCCAGTCCAGTTACTTTTCGATTCCTTCCTTCGTACAGCTCCGTCAGGTGCATTTCCAACCGACAACACACGTCTCAGAGGCAGATAAACTAAGCGTATTAAAAGTGTCGGATCGTTGGACGTAGGAATGCAAGACGGAGCGAACGACTAGGCCCCGGACCCCATGTACCGTTCACCTGCGTCGCAGTGACGAAAAACGCATGACGGCTCGTCATCGAGGAGAGCGTCTTCCGGACGTCGGAAAGAAACGAAGATCCCTCTCACCGAGATGGCACAAAAACATAGTTTGCAGACCGTTACACGTCTCTCCGGCTCGTAGAGGCGGCCCAGGAATCGACGACGTTCAATCAACGACGAGCAGTACACCGCGAGAAAGCGTGTGGCACACGTGTGTCAAGTCACGCGGCAAAGCCGGACCACACGTTCGACGTCGGGAACATGGCCGGTGCTTTCTCAGAGTCCATAGTGGAAAAGTAAAGTCGCGAGTAATCGTGGCCAAACGATCTGTCGTCTTGGCCAGTAGTACCGTCTATACGGCTAAACAGCATCTCCTAGAAACGTCGCCTGGATTTCAAGATATACACGAGACGTTGTGCACGTGTACGGGATTTTTTCATTTCTTGTTTTTGTTTCTTCTTTTTTTTTTCTGTTTGCGTTGCAAACGCCCACCTTTTCCGTGGATATTACCATGTGACGGCTGATTTCTCCTCGTCGATGGTTATGCAAAAGATGGAAGAGTGATTGATACGTGGAGGAGGATAGATAGTGAAATAAGAGGAGGGAATTCTTTGCTTTGGTAATGTGATTGGGGTGAATGGTCTGAATGAGGAATTTATTAAGGGTGAAAGGGAATTGTTTGGTGAATTTTTATTACATTTTGAGAATCTGGAATTTTTGTTTTAAAGCTTCGAATCTCTTCGAAATCTCATTGGTAGGTTTGATTAGGGTGAATGAGGAATTTGTTAAGGGTGAAAGGGAATTGTTTGGTGAATTTTTGTGATATTTTGAAAATTTAGAATTTTTGTTTGAAAGTCTCGAATCTCTGGAATATAATTGGTGGATTTGATTCTTTAACAACGAAAAATATTCTGCAAAAATTCAGACTTTTGGAATAATAAACTAATTCACTTAAAATTCATTGGCAGAAGTGAGATGAATCTACTTGGAGCTCATTTTAATTAATCAAATTCATGGTTTAAGCATTCAAATCATTTTTTAACAAAGGAAAAATATTCAACAACCAGGCAAAACTTAAAAAATGCATTAAAAGTATTCAGATTTTTACAATAACAAGCTAATTAGCTAATTTCACCAAATAAAATCGAACTTCGACCACCTTAACGATGTTCGAAGCAACATTTACAAATCCCCCGGTTTCCACGTGCAACGACCCACGTGATATTTATCATCTATTTGCATTACATTTGTCCGTTATTTAAATAGAGTTGTAGGGAACATCGGCATCGACAAGTAATATACCCGTAAAATCGCGGAGAGCTCGCGGGAACATAAATTTAGCAGCGCATGTCCAAGAGGTCGTGCGGTGCCACGCACGATGTTGTGTGTGCACAGGTCGAAATGGCGGCATTGGAGGGAGATCCTTTTGTGTGCACACCGATGTCGACGAGTCGAAAATAAAGGCCACGGAGGAAGGCAAGCCACACGGCGCTTATTATACCTTGACTCTCTTTAAGGACCACGTACGTAACCATGCACCCGCTAAAATTAC